TTAAAAGAGATGTTATAGGTAATTTGAAAATTTAAACACATAAGTATATGATGGTAATTTAGATATTCAATTACGAAAGGATTTTGTTGTATTAAAATTTTTTATAAGAGTAAAATAGTAAATCAAAAAATTTTCATTCTAAGATATTTTTATTAGTAATATAGATTATTAGTAGTATAAATGGGAATATAGTGAATAAAAAAGAGTACAAGTTATTGAAAACTATAATGATGCATACGTTTTTTTGAGGATTGCGTAGTAAATTAAATTTTTCCATAGATATTGATATTTATACAAAGATAATCTATTGATTGACTTTCTGCTGATCTTTTTATATTCTACTCCATTACATTATTAGTCAGAAATTATTTAAGTTCTTGATTTCCAAGGCATAGAAAAGAACTCAGAAGTAAATTTTGTGTCTTGATATAATTGTCTGAATAGTCACGATTTAAAAATTTCATATCGGTTGGAATTGGTAAAGTCGTATGTTTTGGGTGTTAAGTTCAATAAACTTTGATACACCCATAATCCAAAAATACGTGAAACAAATAACTTTTTTGTTATCTTGAATTACTTTTTTTGTAAAAATATCCCAACTATCCTATTAAATCTATTGGAGTGATGTTGGATCTTGAGGGCCGTCTTTTTACATAAGAAAAAAATTTAAAGACAGTGACCCTAAGAGGTATACATACTCCTGAAATATTCAAAACTTCTGACGTCCACCTTGTTAAGACTCTTTATGAAATAGCGAATCCACTACTTATAAGTTGGAACTATTAATTTTAATTTTACGTTCCTTTAGATTTTTGTAACCGACCAACATAAAAGATGAGAACGACTGCCCCTTTAATCCTTTGCAACTTGCTTAAAGATACTTTTTGGTATTATATACTAATCTTAAATCAAAAGCTATATGATGAATTAATCTAACTGATAATTCAAGTGGTAATACAGATGAATTATAAACTTAGACAACATAAGTTTAAATTTTGACAATCTTTTTAGGTCAGATTATGAAAGAATTTACCTCTTATGAATATATTAGTTCCGACGTGGATGATCTACTTTTGACCGGACTGAGAAAAGAATTAGTAAAGGTATACATAAGTTGGTTCAAACATCCTTAACTGTTGAACCAAAAAAAAGCTATATGGTCAAGTTCTTCACCACATTTAACATTTGGTCTAACTCATACATCATCTTATTTCTTGGCCTGCTAACAACATAAATCAATTTTTCTAAATATTTTCTTTCTTCTTTCTTTATGTGGAATAAGATTACAGTATTAACAGAAATAAGATTACAAAAATTTAATATCATACTTTTAAATATTATAATTTTTATAAGTTTCGATACAATTTTGGTGGTTTATTTAGAACGAAAAAATTTACAATTTTTGCATCAAATTACAATTTTTAAAGTTTGAATTACAATATTTTTTAGTCGCCGGATGAGAACCAGAAAGAAGTCGACCTTGACCAGGTGCAGAGGAGGATAAAAAGTCTAACAGTTCAAATCTTGCTTAACACGTTTATGGTGTCAAGGCATGAACTCTTGTGCCAGGTTTAAAATTGCAATTCGATCCTCTCAATCTTTTTCAGCGACTCCCATCCATATATTTTTTTTATGTACATGAAAAAAACACAACGAGATTTGAATTTGACGGGCCGGCCTAGATCAGACCAAACTCAAATAATTGATTCGACTTAGATCACGATTAATTTAGATAGTGGGTCTAACCCAGAAAAGACCTGGACCTAGTCGAGTTCGTCAGAAACCTAGTCAATCATGTCATTCTGAGACTTGGTCTTGAGGAGATCTCTACACTTTCTCTGCAACTGCCTCATCTGTAGCATGAATGGCGTTAACTCTACCAAATCAATTTTTCTATTGTTTCTAAGACACTTCAATTTATTAGGAGACGTTTATAAATTATAAGTCCCGCATACACATGAGAGACATCTCTCATATCTTGTATCTTGCCTATTAATCACACATAAGCACTCACGCTCCTTAAAATAATAAAACAATTATGTCATCCTAACTTTTTGTAATGAAGTAAATTATGTTTCACTTATTATCTCTCATTATTTACTATTATATTAAATACTTAATCGATAATACATACAATCAATTTGGCATCATCAAAACCCACCACAACTATTAGATCTACGAGACTGACCACCAAATCCTCACTGTCATTGTTATATCAATTATGCAAACAATCTCCTATAGAGACCAAACAAGTTTTACGTGGAAGAAATAAATAATTGTGTAATGATAAGACATGTACAGTGTATTTCGTATTTATATTATATATATCCATATAAATCCAATTGTCTCACGTGGTAAGTTTCTCTTACACCATGGACAAACACCTGTCCTGCTGTGGACCCAAGTTTTTCCTCTAGCAGACAAATAACAATTGGAAGCCACGTCCCCAAGAAGAGAAATGTTAGGACACTTGGGACCCACATCAACTTGCCAGCTCAATGCCTCACCTCTTTCTTTAGTCCCTCCAACCTGTCTCTCTCTCTCTCTCTCTGTGGTGGGTGTGTTTTCTCTCTTGGAGAACAGAAACTCCCCTGCAGACATCTAAAGTGAGGCGTCTGTCATGTAAGTAACAATTTAGTGTGTGTGTGTGTGCAGAGAATGAATTGTTATTGGTTGGTGTGCATTTTAGTTTTGCTTTGTTTTCTGGACATTTTGCATTTCATTTATATAATGCTATTTTTTAGGAGAAATAATTAGTTAATAATGAACTGTTATATATAATGGTTGTATTTCTTAGACTTCAGTCTCTCCAAAATGAGCAAACTTATCACTTCTTTCTTTTAAATCTTGTGAAGCACGATATTTTATTATAAACGAGAGTTTTGTGTATTGTTATGATTAATAATACTATAACTTCTAAGAATTGTTTAAATTAGGTCATTGGAGGGTAACAACAATCCCTTATTTAACATAATAAAAATAAGTTTGGAAGCTAAGTTTAAGTAACACTTGTAACTTGAAAAGAAAAGCTTTTGTTTTTTCGTTTCAAGTGTTCAATATAAATTCCTAATATGGGTTCGAACTTAATCTTTCTCCCTTGCTAATGTTTCGATCTTATTGCTTAATCAAACAAAGGAAAAAAAATTATGTGTTGGCTTGGCTTGGCTTGCCTGCGGGGTCTTAATGTACAATTACTAATTCTTTTCAAGGAAAACTTGAAGTCTCAATTGTCTTTTGTTATAAATAGTTATAATTTTGATAAGGGTCTGGTTAGTTTAGGAATTAGGACTCAATCGTAACCTAAAATTGAATCTAGATGACAATGGTATCGATAGGGAGATTAGTTGGAATATTAACAATACAATACCAGACACAACTTGGGGTGGAATCTTGGTAACAATTTAACAAGATATGCTGAAGTTTTGTAGATATTGACAAGCTGTAAACTACCATTATTGTGCAAAAAAGAATGGTAGTATACAGTTGAATGATTCCAGGTATAGTAGTTCTTATACCCTATTTATTTAACTTTGACGGCTGTTTGAGCCTTTCTAATTGGTTATCTTGGTCTTCTCTCTCTCTCTCACACACACACACATATCCATTGCTTATATCTTTGAAATCCTCTCATCTTTTTATAATCTGCTGACAATCAAGTTCTAGAACAATTATGCCGGCCCGTGATTTTTTTTTAACAGTTAAGGATATTCGAGTGAGATTATGAAAATCTCGATTAATCTTCTCCTCGATTCAATTAAAAATAAGTCATCACGTCAGAACTAAGATTCATAAAGGATAAATTTCATATGACTTAATCTCAAGAAATTACTAAAATTTAAATTTAAAACGTCTAAATTTATAATTTATTTTTATTACCACTAAAACTACCTTGGTCCATCACACTATTCCACATCAGCCCACACATGAAGCTGTAAGCTCACAGCCAAACTTTGAGTGGATAATAGCCATTGTTGAAAACCTCATGGTCTGTGAGTCTGGGTCCACAATTAGGTGAACACAAAATAAAGGCACTAGAAAAATCACCGACCTTTTTGTGATAGCCACAGCCACTGGTCCCTTAGTGATGCTTTTATAAAGAGAGTTGAATCTTACTCATAGACTGAGTATTCATTTGGAAAAAAAAAAAGATGTCACGCTCATATTGAATAACATTAGTAATTGTTGGTCACACATTTAAAGAAAAAAAATCCAAATTTTCAAGTGGATCTTGCTAAGATCACTTCTAAATTTGGTAGATTTGAGTAAAAAGTTATATTAATTTTAGGTTGAAATGGTTGATTCTAACTGGTGCTAGCTAGGGTTCATTCACATGGTGAAATTTGTTGTATCCGAAATTAAATCCACCTCAATAAATTTTTCTTTTTGGGTCTTTCAATTTTATATATATCCTACTGCCTACCTCATGTTGAGAGAGAGAGAATGAACACGACTCACTCACTCTCTGTTCTACCGTTCAAACTCCAAACAAGTCAATTGTTCTAAGTTTCTGGGTTAGGTTGGATAGGACAAGATCTAATTGGTTAGATCTTAGACTCTCTTCCACCGATTCCATCTAAAATTTGTGATAGGTGATTAAAGAAATAAAAAAAGAGAGTATTAAAAAAAATCTAAATTTGATTTATTACGATAATTTATTCAACATAGAAACATAGTTATTATTTCTCTATTTGTTTTGTTGGATTTCACTGTGTATAGAATCTGCAATGAGAATATCTTATTGAAGATTACAGTTGTGGTATATTGGTGACACCTACTAATAACAGGCACATAGAACCCAACCACTTTCCACCACCCAGCGACATTCTTTGTAGTTTCGAACCTACGCTAACAATTGTCCAATATTCTTCTTTTTTTCTGATTAAAGAAACACCGTTCCATCTCTCTCTCTCTCCCTCTCCCTCTGCGTACACAACTCCACTGCCTCTACATATATAGAAAGGAAATCTGACCCACGAACGACTTGCCTTTTCTAGACAGCAATGGCATATTACCATGCCACAGAGGTGGAATCCGTCACCGCCGACTCCGTCACGTCCACTCTTCGGTCCGATTACCACCACCACCGTATTCAAGACGACAACACATCCCAAACCCAACAACGGGTTCGCTTCATGTGCAGCTTCGGAGGAAAAATCCTCCCCCGGCCACACGACAACCAGCTCCGTTACGTAGGCGGAGACACCCGTATCGTCGCCGTGAACCGCCACACCACCTTCTCATCTCTCCTCAACAAGCTCTCGAAACTCTCTGGTACAACCAGTACTATAAACATAAAGTACCAGCTTCCAAACGAAGACCTCGATGCTCTGATCACTGTCACCGCCGATGAAGACGTTGAGAACATGATGGAAGAGTTTGATCGGCTGTCTAACAATCACAAAACGGCTCGGCTTCGGCTTTTTCTCTTCCCCACTGAGTCTGACTCGAGAACCAGTAGTATCAGCTCGCTTCTTGATGGCTCGACTCGGCGCGAGCACTGGTTTTTGGATGCTCTCAATGGCCGGCAGGGTCCGGGTTCGGTTCTGGAGCGTGGCCGGTCCGAGGTATCCTCCATTGTGTCTGAAGTGCCTGACTATTTGTTTGGGTTAGATAACTCGGATGACCCGCCCCGTGAGTCTAAACTAAAGAATAGAAATACAGTGGGGGAGAACATTCCTGGTTCGGATCCGGGTTCTCCTGATCCGGTCATCTCTTCGCCATTTTGTTCAGCCTCATCATCACTGGCGCCACCACCTTTTCCTCCGATTCCAGATCTTCCACCCGTGAAGACCAAACCCGATAAGCCGGTTCTTATCGTAGAGTCAAAGGAGGCTCAAGTTGAGGGTGTAGAGACGGGTGAGCCAGTGGCACAGCAGCATACCAGGTTTGCGGGTAATCCCACGTGGCAGTATGTTTCGGATTCACAATATCCGGGTCAACCTATACAACACATACCCATTTATTATGTTCCTGGTCCGGTTCAACCCGGGAGTGTTCCAGTCCAGCAAGTTCCGATTGGAGCACCATATCTGCAACCATTTCCTCCACCTCCAGGTCAGGTACCGGTTGGGTTTCGTCAGCCGGTTCCGGGTATGGGTCAAGTATACGGTGGAGGAATGAGGCCAGCTACCACGATGGATCCATATGACATGTCCGCTAGAGTAGTTCCCGATGCAGTGAACCAGCCTGTGTACTACGGTGTTCGCAATGGTGGCTTGGTTCCGGCTTATCCAGGGGTGGTGGTGCAGGGTGGGGATGAATTCCAGGGTCCAGGAACCGAGGCTAAGTTGGGTCGGGTCTCCCAATCCTAGTTCCTGAAAATTTGCCTTGCATCACTAGACAACGATGTTTGGTATGGCTCTTTTTTCTCTTTTACTTATGTTTTTTTGGTAATCGAAAATCGTTCAAACTACCTGTTACATTAAACTTGTTGGTGATGTACAAAACTTCATAACACAACTTGATATGGGTTTTTGTTTCAACATAAAGCTTGTTTGATGGTGATAGGTGTTGTATCATATCTGGTTTTGTAACTAAGCTCTGCCTTGCTCTTCAACCTACCTGATTTGGCTATAAATAAGTTTTATCGAAGAAAAATGTAAAAGGAGACAATGCTGTTTGGATTTGTACATATATCTTTTATTTTTTTTCTTTTTTTTTTGTGAGTAAAAAAAATATTTTATCCAAGTACATTATTACATTGGAAATTGTCTCACATAAGAAGTTTTTGAAACACATTTTTTTTACCTAGTTTTCTAATCTAATAGATCACAGTCATTGAATTGGTTATGAGTCTTAATAAACATTGGGTCCGGAGGCGTCAAAATATGATCCGACTTGTTAATACGACACGAGATTAGAAGGTTTTGATTTTTTTCAAGTCACCCGTTTCACAAATGAGTGGACACGACACGACACGACATGATTAATAAGTGAATCAGGTATGAGTGAGGTCAGTCAAAAGAAATACATAAAATGATTCGTTTATATACCGAATATAAACTATTCATATACGATACAAATCCGATATGACACGATTCGTTAGAGATGAATTAACAAATAAATCGTGTATGAATAAAGTAATTTTTGAAACGAAGTCGTCTCACTTGATATGATTGACATATTCACTTGAGTTCAATGTCAATCTAATAATTACAAATAATTAGATCAATAAATTAAACTTAAATAACATTATTCTTTTCAAAAAATGTCTACAATCATGAAGATAATGTTTTTGGGTATCTTAGACCAGTCAAACCATCTAATAGATTTGTAACAAGTGAAACATCGAAACAAATCAGATAGGATGGAATGGACCATGGACCAAGAACTTCAGTAAGTGACTTTTTTTTGCCTAAAAATGTCTCTAATATTTTTAGGTGCAATGGCATTTGTAAGGGGTAAAAATTGAGGATACCTCCTATAAGAATAAAGAATGAATGTTTCTGATAAGAGTGAGCTCTGACCTTGATCTCCCAGTCTTTACTTCCTGCAAAACAAACAAACTGCCCAAGATCAAGGTACTTCGATCGAAGGCACTCCGATACTTAAGTCAGTAATGGAACTGAGACAATTGCAAGAAGACAAGGAGAGTTCAGCGTACCTTTCACCTTAGCTTCTTGTGCCTTTTATAGATCCCTGTTCAGTTAGGATTTTCATAATGTTCCATTCAAGGTGGTACACCTTCCTCTAATTAGGTGACTTTAGTTGGGAAGGTATTGATATCTCTCAGCAATTCCTCCTACCGAGCTCATAATTTCGTCAATTCGTTTAGCTAGAATGCCTGAGTTATAGGCACCTTCTTGGCTCTTTATTTACTATTTGAAACAGTTCGGTCATGATGAGGACCGACCTCATGATTAACTTGGTTTCAAATTGCCGACTTAAAATATAATTAATTCTCAGTCATGTGACTGATCTTGTCTTGCTCACGTGGAATCATTAAATGCAAGTGCACGTGTCGTGTTGGGAGACACCTTCTTCATTTGCCCTCAGAAAACGTCTAACATACGCCTTTTGTCTGTCAGCCATTTTCTGTCCTTAATCCCATCATTGCTCACACCTTTGGGACATCCCCCTTTGTTTTGGTGACGAGTCCTAGTCATTTAAATATTGCCTTTTTGAATTCTCTCCATTTATAAACGATTTCTCTTCTCCCTTCCTTCATTTTGCCTTCTCAGCTTCAAACTTCTTCATCTTTCTCTTTGTATGTTCACTATTTCTCTGCAATGACTCTTCTTACACCTTCTGAGATCCCTGTTTTCAGAACTATATACAACATCCTAGAGGACGTTGAGATACGAGTCACTGACAGTGAGGACCTCTGATAGGTTCCAGAGAGGGTATGCCTATCCATACTTGAACGATCACTGAGGGCAGAGTTCGATTTCCTTTGGGCCCCCTCCAGCTTGGGGTGTTTTCTGTAATGAAGCTCTTCCCAATCCAATGTTGTCCTAACTTCTTTAGGATAGTGATGGGAGTAGTTGCTCTAAACAGGCTCCTATGCTTGAGCCTAGGTTTATGGGAGATTTTGTACTACTATATCATCAAATCGATTGGTGATAACTACTATTTGGCGGTGAGGAAGAAGGACCTTTATTTGGTAACCCAACTCCTTGATTCGAACAAGGGCCATGAAAATGATGTAGTTTTCGTTTATGGGAACTGAGAGTACTCTACTAGAGTCACTCCTTCTTATCGTTGCCCTTACGAAGAAGGCGTACTAGGTATATGTCTTGTTTACTCTTTCGTCTTAGTCTGTTGGTTCATCGCAATTTCTCTCTCTGACCTAGCATCTTTTGTCTGAAGGTGAGACTGTGAAAGGAAGAATCCATGAGAGTTAAGTTAAGATATATTAACTCAAGAAAGTATGGGATTATAATGAATCACTTTTTTGCCGTGCTACTCATACCCTGCTCGGCTATACCGCAACTTACATGTCTTTCATCGTTGTGCCAAACCGTCCCAATGCTTCTCTTGTCGCAGATCGGGAGGTAATTCAAACCGCTCTGGAGCAGACGCCTCGATCTCGTAAGAGAGCCTTGCCTGCCTCCACGGGTAGAAACAGGACTGTCAGAAACTTTTTTGATTTTTTGTCAACTGTCGAGCCGACTCCTACTGCCAAACCATATTTGCAAACTGATCCTTCTATTCCTTTGGTCACTATTCATGAGGAAGAGCCTGCAGCTGAGGTTCCTGTCGAAACTGTTCCTCCTAAGCCAAATGATGCAATTCCGCAGGTCAGCGATTCGGCAAACTTGGCTCGAGCTATTGAAACTTCAATTCCTGTTAAATTATCCTGCTGCTTCTGTTCATTCTCCTGATCATCAAGACAATTCAATGTTTGAACTAGCTGAAGACCCCGCCCCAAAAGGCAAAGAATTGCTGAGTCCGAGGCAAGTCTTTCCCCTAAGCCGGGCAATCCTCCTTTCCGTCATGTCCTTAAGGCGAAAAGAAGAGAAATTACTGTGAAGGATTCTACGATCGAGGATTTTAATGTTGTCATAGGGATTGCCAGAGGGGTCATCCTGCCTCAGGACCTTGCTATGAACAAGGTTTTAACTGATGATGAAGTGTCCCGCCAAGTTATTCAGCATATGGTCTTGGTAAGACTTATTTCTTTAGTTTTTCTCTCCCTTCAAAATTTGTCTAAGTTTTTTCCTCTTTTCAAATTTGAAGGGTCTTCAAAAAGTTCATTAAGTAGGGGCTACGATAGCCCGAAAAGACAAGGCTATGAAGGATGTTATCCACGCCCGAGCTTCAGCCTTGGCTAAGAAGGAGTCAGTGGATGAAGAATACATCAAGATCTGTGGAGAAGCTAAGGTTCTCCAGGCTCAAAACCGTAGCCTGACTGAGGAGAATAAAAAGCTTCTGGAGGAGATTGGGAAGGTAAAAGATTCTGAACATGAAGCCAACGTGGAGCTTTCCCAATCCCAGCTAGATTATACAAGCCTTCTTGAAGAGTTTGATCAATATAAGGCTGACGCTAAGGAGAGAGAAGATTTTGCATATGATGAGGGGATTGAGAAGGCAGAAAATAATCTGGCTTTGTAGATCCCTCAACTGCGGGATGCATACTTCAGCAAGGGCTGACATGTTGCCCTAAATGCTGTTGGAGTTCCATCCTTTTCTGAGCTTTACTCTAGGCATTCTCTTCCTATCTCCTCCCAACCCCCTCCTTCTTGAAAACACTTAGAAGATTTTTGTACTTTTTGATGTATATATTCAAAGATCCTTTTGAGATGACTTTGTAATCTTCTGAAGTTTAAATGAAAGTTGCTTTTTAACCTTTTGTTTTCTATGATTTTGTTTTAAAGATTGCTTAAGTCTCTGGGGCCCTTGCTCGGCCCTTTTTCAGTAAGCTCAGTTTCTCAATAGAAACCTTAAAAAAAAAAATTCTTCTAGTTATGGCCTTTGCTCGGCCAATCTTCTAAGAGTTTGGTCACTCAACAGAGACCTTGAAATACTTAGAAATAAAATTATGGCCCTTGCTCAACCCTTTAATAAGCTCGGTATCCTAACAGAAACCTTAAGCTCAGTTTCTCAACATAAACCTTAAAACATTTAGCAAAAATTCTACTCTTGAAGTTATGGCCCTTACTCAACCTTTCTTCAAAGAGTTCGGTTACCTAGTAGAGTTGCTCTCAGACCCCTTGGAAATTTCAGAGATGATTTCTACCCGCATCGACCCGCCAATTTGATTGGACTCAAATCCATCTCTAATCAGCTTACATCATTATGCCTAGCTAAGGGCCTAAATTCAATTGGATGGTTGCGCCTGATTTAAGTTTGTACTTCTATCAGGATTTTTTTTCTCCCTGCCTTAACAGTAGAACGAATATATAGCAAGAAAAGTAGAACGAGAGTTGGGAGATGAATCTTCAAAAACCTTTATTAATAGCTTTCGTTCATATCAGTACATTTGCTAATCACTTATTGATTCTTCTGTATAAGGGGCACCCTTAAGTTTTCAAAGGCACTTCGAAGTTCTATTTAAAGAGATACTTTTTATAAATAGAACTTTCTTAAGTGAGCAGAGTTCTAAGGGCATGTTCATATAAATAGAACTTTTTATAAATACTTTTTATATTGTCCAAGGTCTCGAGTTCATAATATCTACTGCCCCCCACTTGGGCTACTTTGTATGGACCGTTCCAATTTGCTCCAAGTTTTTCATGAGCTGGGTTTTTAGCCAATCTTAGTACATGTCTAGGGACCAAGTCTCCCAGTGCGAAAGACCGCGGATTAACTTTCTTGTTGTAAGCTCGAGACATTTGCTGTTGATAAGAGGCCATCCTTATTGCTGTTTGCT